TCTTCGTCCGCTGGGTTCTGGTTTGTTCTCTCCCACAGTAGGTTGTTGCTGATTGTGTCTGGCCAATGGATCTGAAGTAATTGCGTAGATAACTATTAATAAACACTTGTATCTTCTGGATGATGGCTTTCGTAGTTCTCCAGGTTTCTGCTCCATACAGTAGAACTGTCTTGACATTTGTATTGAAAATTCTGACCTTGGTATTGGTTGAGAGTTGTTTTGAGTTCCAGATGTGCTTCAATTGTAGATGTGCTGCTCTTGCTTTTCCGATTCGCGCCTTCACATCTGCATCAGATCCACCCTGTTCATCAATGATGGTGCCCAGATATGTAAAAATGTTTACATCTTCCAAATCTTTTCCGTCAAGTGTGATTCGATTGTTGCATGCTGTGTTGTATCGAAGAATCTTGCTTTTCCCTTTGTGTATGTTGAGACATATTGCTGCTGAGGCTGATGCTACAGTGGTCGTCGTCTCCTGCATTTGTGGTTGCGTGTAATAAATTACATATCTTGGCGTATATTTATCTAGCTGATAAGTTTAGGTATATCTAACAATGAAATCCAAAGGAAAGTATATTTATCTATGTGATTTATATAATCTACCAATTTATAAAAGTAGTAACCACATTCGTAAGAACATCAAACAAATTCTATTTATATAAGGATTTGTATAGAATAGTGAATTTATATACTTTACCTCATAGATTAGTGTTAGTTACACAAACACATGAAACAAGAAATAACATTTCTGTTAAACTGACTTTATACATATGTATACTATGTGAGGCCGGGTTACGTTTCTGAAGGTAAAGTAATCGCATGTTAGAGTTAAATGTCTTTGGTTCTATCCTCTCAGGAATCATGGGTGCTCTCTGGTTAGGAGCTCCATACCAAGACGAAATGGCTACCCAGAGATTCCTGGCTTCTCTTAGTTGTCCAACTGAGATTAGTTCATTGTGTCAACGAAGGAGATTGATTATTTATTGTACTATACGATTTATCCCCAAGTTTTCAACGCATATATTGTATTTGAAATAGTTATTCATCACGTTACAACTCAGTTTACTGTAGATCCAATGAGTATTTATCTCGTGTAATAATTTTTAGTGACAAATTCATGTTTTTTGACCAAGCTATTCATGGTAGTGTTAAATGCGTTGGATGAATCTAAAATGATTATAAGCAACCAATTCACATGCCAGTTCAACTTTATCTCAACAAGATGAACTACTTTCAATTTGTAAGTAGACGGAATAATTAAAACAATTTATAGGTTAATGATAACAGTGAAATATTATTCTAACAACATCAGTATTAAGTTATTGTTTGAATATTAAGTAATTTAGCGATTAAAATGGAAATGTTTGTTTCCACTGAATGAAAAAATTTATGGTAAACAGATAATGGTATTTAGATTTATAATCTGTCCATGAAAATTAGAAGGTAAACTACAGTAAACATGAAATTCTAATGTCTCACAAGTTAATTCATTTATTGATGTTGATGAACACATTCATTTCAAGCATCACTAACAGATCAAGTTAAGTATATAAAAATAAATCCTTACCATTTATGAGACATTCTCAATAATGAAATAGATTTTTTCCCATAGTTATTAGACAGTATGACTTGTAAAATATTGATTGGTTAATGAATGCAATAAAGATGTTGCTACACTTCCTATTGTTGACGTTGTTTAACACGTATATTTCAAGTATTGCCAACAAACGTTTATTCTCAAGTTAATACAAATTTCAAATCTAAGTATGAGTTTGCATGATGCTAAACTGATTCGTTGTATTAGAACTTGAATGATAATTAAAATACATAATAAAATGTTAAGTAGTTAAGCCCTACTTACTGATATACTGATACACGAAACGTGTTTGCTTTTCTGATTACTTTGTAGTGTGGCGTCGAGTCGCGGTTGACTATGATCACCACTACAGGAAGACTACGAACCAGTTAACCGATAAGATCCCCATAACCCAAATATCAGAAGGCAGTTGATGGCTGTAGTCATGATGTATTTGTTGGCGGTCTCGTAGTATGGAAAGAATACCGAGATTGTGCCAAGTTACAAGTATGGTTACTGAGCGTAACCGAATTCGTGCAAGGTCACAATCAACGGAAGAAAGTATGTATTCTGGTACAGTTAAACAAACAAGTACGGTAAAACAGTTCCTGGTACAATTGGTTATAATAATAATTGTTTCCATTACACCGATCGCGTTCTCTTGATAAAAGTAGGTCACTACTACTTCAAGTAACTATGTTCATAAAAGTAAAGTTTGTGAAATTGAGGTTGTCAAAATGAAAATTTTCCTCTTCGAATTAACTGTTTATTGTGAGTACAATCTAAGTCCTAATTAATTTACATTTCTGATATATTGATTATGCATTTCATTTCAATTTATATTCTAAACAGACAGTTAGTCTCATCACATAGTCATTCATTGTCTAGGAGAAAAAATTATTGAAAGGTTTTGGTGAAAGTTGGTTTATTCTCTGAAAGATTCAAAGAACACTTACAAATTTTCACTCTACCAACCGATTTGTTTTATTTGTTTACAAAGATTCTTTAATTCAATAAAATAATTCTTGATTAAATTACATATGAAGTCAGTTGAAACTCTGATCGTTGTCTTTTCAATACACTTAGTTTCATTCTACTTCTATTGGAAGAATATTACTAATCGATTTTTTTTAGTGCAGATATCTTAATTACGCCCTCCCGACTGATAAAATTTGAAACAGTAACCTAATCATTAACTGTGTTCATATTGTTTTATATGCAATGTGATTTGTTTGTTTTTTTATTGGACATTTAGCACTCAATTTTATCCTTTATTGATACATAACTCATAATTTAGTTTACATTTGACTGTATGTGGATTGACGAAAGTTGTTTTTCAGACATCATGATAGAAGTGTTTTTTTCATATAGTAGAATGCAAAACATTTTTGAGTGTAAGTTGTTCATTAAAATGATGGATATTGTATTTCGATAGATTGTATTCAATAAACTGAATTCTAAATGTAGCAAGTGTTAGTGTAAGTAATATTCAAAGCTTATTTGCTACTTCAACCTATATGATGTGTTCTTGCTTTTTTTTGTACGTTAGATTAGAAGTAACACTAGAGGGGCTCCAGAGTGAAGTTAATCAAATACACGTTTGAGAATATCTTTGTTGTGTTGCTATGCTATCATTCACTATATTCCAGAAATATGATGACTGAATTACTCAACTAACAAACATTCGGCACTGTTGTGACTTTATCCGTTTTTTTTAAAAGAAAAAATTAAACTACTTCATTGACTAAAATCATAAATTCACCTTTTTTCTAATCGTTAAATCTTTTAATCTATAACATCATTGAATATTCTACCACTAAAGCAAAATAGCTAACTATGAACCCTTGAATGATCATTAGATTTTTGAAACAATTTTAAAGTTCCCAGAGTATTTGATTGTTTTTATTTTTCGGTGTTCTGGCACGATAAGAATAATGAGGGTTAATTTTTGGGATCCATTTGTGGACCAATACTATACGTATATTTTTATCGTATGATATATATATATATATATGTTTTGAATTGCGTTTGTTGTGATCGCTCGTTTCTGGCTGCTTACAGAATATACTTCCCATTCCAAACTTGGACTTCTTCCTCTAGTTAGTGGGGCTGGGACGCATCAAATAGCTAGCTTACTGTTTTTTGGTCACTGAGTTTTTGTTCTCGTTCGCAGATTAAGTGAACTCATGATAGCTTGAAACCTAGCAATCGGAACCACTTAAGAAAGATAATATTTCAATGCACCTTATCTATTCATATCAAAACATATTAAATTTAACATCTAAGATCATTGAAAACCTAGTAATCTTCCATGAAATTCATCTTTTCTTACATATTCTGATAAACAGTCTTTTTCTTTGTAGTGGTAAATAATTCACAAACAGATAATATACTTGAGTGAACAGTGTCCTAACGATATTTTAATTCGAATCATAACACCGCCATAGATATAATTTATTCAGTAGTATTTCATTTGTTTTATTCTACGATTGATCTTAGCTGTCTTACTTACGATGATTACACATCGTGGAGGAGTATAGGCTGCCTTTAAGCTAATATGTTTCTAAGAATAAATGGAACCAATGTCAATTAGAAGCTAATTATTTGTACACATAATTAACATATTTAATGGATGTAATGAATTACTATTGTGGTGTGTACTACTGATATTGACATAAGTAGTATATGATGTTAGTCGTGAACGGAAGCTCTGACAGCTGAGAGACAAGAGGAACGAACAGTAAAGAATGGAAACAGGATGCAATTTGTATGAAAATGCAAGAACAACGAAGTCGGACTCATTTCCAAGACAATTGGTGAACATTTTGCAAATTACGTATTTACTTATTTGATTGTTAGATTTTATTAACAAATCCTGTAATTTAGTGTTGAACACGTACGATTCAACCCACCCGTGTTCTGTTCACTACACTATCATTAGCGAATATTAAAATTTTCTACCTGTTATATTCATACAGTTTATATATGTAACTATGATAAGTATTTGTCAAAAACAAAAATACCAACGAAAAGATTAGGAATGAAAATATGAAAATATGTGAAATAACTATTGAATAACTTGGAATTTCAAAGCTTATCTATCTATGAGTCAATCATTTAGATAAACTTAAGCCAATACACCATTATTGAAACAATATTGTTTTGGTCATTGTTAACTACAAGACAATACGAAAATATATGAAAATTGTTGTTTATGTGCTTATTTAGATTAAAAAACAACAATCGGAAAGAGTACAGAGTTTATATTAAATACATATATAAATACACAAAAGAAATAGAAAATTATTAAACAGAATTCTCAAAAGATACATTACAAAGCAATATGAGTGAATCAAGAGCTAGACAGAATTTCGCCAAAGAATGTGAAGATGCCATCAATAAACAAATCAATGTGGAACTACAGGCTGCTTATGATTATATGGCATTCTTCACTTATTTCGATCGAGATGATGTGTCATTTCCGAAAGCAGCTGAATTCTTTCGAAAAGCTTCACATGAAGAACGTGAACATGCAGAGAAACTGGCCAAATATCAGAATAAACGTGGTGGTCGTGTTCAATACAATGATATCAAGTGTCCAACTAAGACAGAATTCAGTGGTTTGGAGGATGCGATGAACACTGCATTGTCGATGGAGAAGGCAGTGAATGAGGTGAGTGGTACACTGAATCATAATCTATTTACAACTAGATCATCATTAACCGACAATCGAAAATGATTATTTATTTTAAAAAATATATTTCGATTTTATATTAATGTTTGTGTAATTGTTCACATCACTGACTTTAAAATACGTGCAATTCTCAACTGTTGAATTGACCATCATATTTCGTACATTACATTTCTATCTCTGAGTAGTATTATGAAACTGGAATGTATCGTATTAAATTGACACATGTGAATGTTACATTTTAGTTTGGTTAGTTTCATAGACATGGTGAGTCACATTTCACTGTGAAAATGAAATACTAATTTATTAAATGACACCATGAAATACACTACATACATTGGTTCTATTGTTTCTTCTCTTTACAGTCATTATTGAAACTTCATGAAATCGCTGTGAAGAACAATGATCCAGCACTGACCGATTTCATTGAGAGTCAGTATTTGCATGAACAAGAAGATGCAATCAAACAATTTGCTGACTATGTGACAGAGACAGATCGAGTTGGAAGTGGACTTGGTCAATATTTATTCGACAAGATCACACTGAAAGAATAAACACGACTTCAGTTGAACTGTTCATTCATTGTTGTGTCGTTCATGTATTTCTCTGTGTTGTTTTTATTATCATTAAATGAGTGACTCTCACAACTTTCTCACTAGTTTTCTTATTGTCATTGAAAATGTGAGGAAGTCGAAGTGGACAACCTGTTTGAAGTAGTAAATAAGTGAGTTAGTTGACTTTGAGGTTTTGATGTGGGAAGTATGTTATAGACCGACCAAATCGACGAGATGAATGGTATGTGGTTTCTATATAGTGAGTGGATGGCGATTTATTGTGCTATACTTTGAGAATACATTATTTAATAACATGTTATATTTCGTTGATATAATCTTGCGTTCTTATAGTAAAAATAAAGAAACTATTTTAAATGTAACACAACCGCTGTACGTTGGTTATAAATAAGACTAAGAAACAATTCGATATCATTTGTATGCCTAGAAACAATTTTTCTTTAATTTTCTGTTGAAAATATGTAATTTACACTTAAATTTTTGATCTGGACCTTTGATTAGTGTATCGTTATTCGTTATTTGCTTATCTGTCATAATTTCAGGATGATGATTACTTTTAGTGAGCAGATAAGCGTGTTCAATAAAAAGAATATGTTCGAGACTTTTCATGTTCTGTTAAAAGTTCCCCTACTATAATTATATTTCTTAAGCTTCGATTACATCATCTATATTTTATTCAATTAGGGATAAATATTTTTTTTCTGTAAAAAATTTGAACTTTACAGGGTATTTACAAAAATTACTGAAGGGTTCCATAGAATTGAGGATGTCCTGATTCAATATTAGTTATCTGCTACGAACAAATAATCTAATGGGTAAAACTGTTTTATTCGTAGAATATTTGAATTATTTCTCATATTGGAGCATTACAACACTGGTTGGCTTTGATTATACATGACTCATTAGCAGTGCTTAAACACAACTCTTAACATTCAAGCAACTCAGTTGAGATCCAGAGTCTTACATTTACTGCTTTAGTTAGTTCGTGATTTTGCACGACTCCCATTGATTGCCGTTGATTATATTTGTCTAACATTCCACCTGGTTTATCTGTACTGTTCATGGCTTCTCACTAGTACCGTTAGATCAGAACATTGCTGCTCTCAGGTGCTTTCGGGTTTTTAAGCAAAAGTCAGTCTGTGTCTTGAATCTTTAAATCCAGCAATCACCACAATACCCTACTATAACTTTGAATATTGTTGAATATACATGGAATAAATATTGTTTTAAGGTTTTGATAAATATAATTTACAAACGCCAGAGGAATCTCTGAAATCGTATAGTGCATAAAATCCTTAAAACTAGGATTAGAAATGAAGTCAACGGGTGACAACTTTCCTATAATTTTGAAAACAGTTTTCATTAAAGTGGATTATTTTAATAAACTAGCGTTTCTTATGGTTATGTAGGTCAGCTTACTTCAAGTACTGTAATGAGACCCTTTAGGTCTTGGGACAAATATGTAATAAATTAATCAGTTAAAGAATTTCTTAAATTTAAAAAAGATTGTTGCTTATATTCCAATGATACATTGTGTTGGGAACGTTTGGGAAAGGACCTAATTCTGTAATTTTATTTAGAAAATTTGGATTTCTTTGTTTTCGCGCCAAAGGAGCTCTTGTTACCTTCACGTCGTATTTCCCACTGGGAAATATCTTGAATTCTATTGGTCCGTTATGTCTTTTAGTATGCTATTTGGAAAATCTCCCCAAGGACGGTTTTGTACCGTACAGATATGTTTTGAATTGTGTTTTGTTGTTATCGCTCGTTTCTGGCTTGTACTTCTTCCTCTAGTTAGAGGGACTGGGACGCATCAAATAGCTAGCTTACTGGTTTTTGGTCACTGAGTCTTTGTTCTCGTTCGCAGATTAAGTGAACTCGTGATAGCTTCAACCCCAGCACAGTGAGACATTTATTATTTGAATCAGGGATCCAAGTGTTATTTGTTCCACCCAAAAAGCGCCTATTATTCCAGTTCTGATACAGTTGAATACTCCATCCTAATACGTAATGAAGTTACTTTTCAATTTTAGGATTATGAAATGTCCTCTTTTACATAATTATCTTTGAGATGAAGGTCAATAAAAATTAACTTTAGACTGACGTGTTAAAAAACCCAAATAAAGTCATGATTTTGAGCCCGATTCGTTCGGATGTTTTATATCAACTGGTCAGAATTCAATAGAGTTTTTAAACTTCGTATAGTCCTAATGTAAACAATCATCTCTAACATTTTCATTACTTTATAAACGAACGAGTCGATTAAGAAATCATTCGTATCATACATATAACATTCTTTTATTCATCATTTCAGTCAAATGAAGAATAAGTTTTATTAAGTTAATTATTACTTACTTTTATGTGGCTTTCGTTACTCAACGATCTTGGTTTGATATTCATTAGTGAATAGCTATGTAAGATCAGAACGTCCTGAATTCCATCTTTTGTTATGTTACTGTTGCTCACTATTGATGAATCCTAAACCAGAATGAAACAACTCTTTAGTAATTCTATTTTTCTATAATATCTCAAAATTAACCAATCCTAAATGAATATCATTTATAAATTAATATAATTTCCCCCCTCCCGAAAATAAAACTCCCTAGATTATTACTATTTTTGATTTATACCAAAAAAATCATTATGCTCAACTGAAAATCATTTCCTCCCCCTTCCTATTATATTTCTTATTTATAAAAAGGGAAAGAAAAGTGATAAAAAAAAGATTTTGATTCAACCAATCAAATGTTAATGAATGAAGAAATATCCCATTCAATAAAAAAAAATTCATTATGCTTGTTTAACTCAAATTAAAATGATTTTGATTTAGACTGAAAGAGAAGAGCATATATAGATATATATTGGACTATTAAAAAGTTAATTAATTATTATACTTTCCCTGAAATCTTTTCGATATATTCTATTCATAGTTTCCTAAAATGGCATCTTTTACCACAAGTAGGTAACAGTGATAATTTATATTCGAAGTGTTATAATTATAAGTTTTAATTGAACTATTTACACAAATATGTAAACGAAGAATAGAAACCTCATAAATGACTAATTTACTGGTATGTAACAAGATTTGTAGTAGGAACTAATCACTAGTATATTTGAAACATGCCCGATTTAGGACAATAATCAGTTATGATGATGGGCGAAAATTGAGGTATACTACAAATTAATCGGAGTTGAAAGTACAGACCATCGAATTTCAGTTCAATAATCTTAAAGTATCATGCTCAGCAAGAGATTTGATAACTCTATATTCAATCCTCCAGATGAGTTGAAACTACGAGAAAACAAATCCCAAGTGCTACTTGGTTATCGGTGGTTCTCCAGAAAATGTCAATTTATGATAAGAACTACTTTAAATTTTGAAAGGAAAAACAGATTCCACAATTTTAAACCCGACTCAACGGTTGAAAAAATTTAAACATTTGTAATCGACAAGTATTATATGAGTTTAGGACTATCAGTTGAGTAAATAATCTCAATTACTTTACGGTCTATTATGCCTAGTGTGTATTTTTGTTTCCCTTTTTTTGTTTTCTACATGTTGACTTAATGAAATTGATTCTGTTCGTATTCATTTGTAAAATTTTAGTCAGAAATGATCCCATTTTCGCTAATTCCTACTTAGCTCATATTATTTCATGCATTCGTTAATATTCAGTCAGTGATTTAATATAGATATTAGTTGTAATAGCATTTATCTCATCCTGAATTACCTAAATTTATTTTATTACTAATTACATAATTGTATTGTCTAGATACGTTTGAGATTTAAAATAAAAATTAGTCGTTTCCACACTTACAAACTTTATTGTAAAGCAAGAACTCCCTATTTTACATAATCAATTGATGACCTCATAGATTCCATATTGCGAATTACAACACTCATATCTTGAAAACATTTATCAGTAGTTCATTGTGTTATAAACTAAAGGACGAAGTCAACTAATAATATCACCTACATGAATACAGTAGAATAAAAGCAAATGAATCCATCTAGATGTTAGGCATGATGTATAAATATAATGTTTCTATAATGGTTATTCGGTTGTTAATATTGAATATCAATTCAAAGTTTTTGAATGATAACTTTACTTACTACTTACTTTACTTACGCCTGTTACTCCTCGTGAAGGAGCATAAGCCACTCACCAGCATTCTCCATCCAACCCTGTCCTGAGCAATCCTTTCTAGCTCCTTCCAGTTCCTAATCATCCTTTTCATATCTGCTTCTATTATCCGACGTAATGTGTTCTTTGGCCTTCCTCTTTTCCGCTTCCCTTCAGGATTCCAAGTTAGGGCTTGTCTCGTGATGCAGTTTGATGATTTCCATAATGTATGTCCTATCCATTTCCATAATCTTTTCTTAATTTCCTCTTCAGCTGGAAGTTGGTTTATTCTCTCCCACAGAAGGCTGTTGCTGATGGTATCCAACCAATGGATGTTGAGTATCTTGCGTAGACAACTATTTATAAATATTTGTACCTTCTTGATGATAAGAATGTCTTATTTTATCAATTGTGTTCTTTTTTACAGATACATCATTACCTTCTAATCCGATTAAAATGTTTCCAGATAACATTGTAAATTTAAATTTTCCATCATTTTTACCTTATTCATCAACATTGGCATTATTTAATGAACTTAAAACAAAACTTAAACAAAACTCTCATATTATACAAAACAATAATTTACAATCAACTGAGATCAATCGTTCATCATCTCAAGAAGTTTATAAAGATAATATATCCTTATGTTCAAACTCTATGATCAATAATTCGAGTAATTGTCATATTGATTTTGATGATACCCAAACAATAAATCCAAATAATGATCATCATTATGAGCATAATAATAATGAAAGTAAAGATCCTAATGATAACATTGAAGAGTTTTCATTGAAACTTGAAAATTTTGGCAATATTTTTAAAAATTCATTTATTCCTCCATATTATTCTATACAGAAAAATAATCATTTAACATATCAACATAATTCTCTATTACTTAAAAATAATCAATATCCATTACATATTAATAATAATAAGCAATCAAATCATTATCATTCTAGATCAATGTTAGATAATTCATCAATAAAATTAGAAACAGGGAACATTAATGATAGCATAGTAACTAAAAAGAATAATACAAATACACAAATCTTATATCATAATAATGATATATCTAATGAAAGAATAATAAATGATCATGAGAATACAATCAAACTAAAAATGAAATCATCCATATCAACAACTATGATCGAAGATAAAATAACTAATAAAGAATTAATCAATAAATCTATAAATCAATTATGTTTATCAAATCAAAACAATCATAAATTCATTGAATTCAATAAGACAATGAATAATAGTCATAATGATGATATCAATGAACAATTAAAACGTTATCGTACTAGTTATACACAAAAGCAAATTGAATTATTAGAAAAAACTTATCAATTAGATCGTTATATTAATCGGCCACAAAGAGCTAAATTATCAGTTGAATTAGATTTACCAGAGAGTAAAATTAAAGTAAGTAATAAGGATAATGTGTTGAACATATGTGTTATTATGTATTTATATTAGTAATATCAAATATAAAACTTTTGTTTGAAATGTATTGAATGAATACAATAACAAAAATAAAGTGGAAATAGATTAATTCTTTGAGGTATGATTCTTTTGAATCCGTTATGTAGACGATTAATTCTTAATAGATGAAATCATGAGTCAATTGAAGCTAGACTACCATGCAAAACTTGGAAGCACTGGATGGCCGTTTCGTCCTAGTATGGGACTCCTCAACAGTGCGTATCCACGATCCCAGTGGAGTACAACCAGGTCTGTTGTGAGATATCAGCTCACTAAAAACAATGGTGTACGGTTGTGCAATTTTGTGAATTTGTTGAAGTTAGGCATTAACACCGTTAGATGCTGTGTCAGTGGTCTAGTGGTTTAGTGCTCGCGCGCGAGACTGTCAGGTCATGAGTTCGAATCTCGCGGGGTGCGGGATCGTGGATGCACATTGCTGAGGAGTTCCATACTAGGATGAAACGGCTTTCCAGTGCTTCCAGGTTTTCCATGGTGATCTAGCTTCAATTGACTCATGATTTCAACTACTGAAATTACTAAATCTCTACAAAACCCTTCTGATTATTTTTTAGTGTAGAAACATAAAAAATGTGAAATTGGTCATGAATTTTCATTGTTAAAGTAAGAGACTTATATCAGAAAGGGTTTCAAGAGGTATTTCCTGGAGTTCTAGTGAAAAACGATGACCACTGGAGTTCAACCGGGTCTGTTGGGAGATAGTAACTCACCAAAGACAAAGGTAAATATGTCACTCAATTTCTTGGATTACTTGAAGTAAGACATTAACATCGTTGTATGCCAGCTCAGTGATCTAGATTTTTAAGCGTTCGCTCACGGGACCGATAGGTGCTGGGTTCGAAGCTTGGGAGGTGGGATTGTGGACTCACACTTCTGAGGAGTCCCACAATAGGACGAAATTGCCATCCAGTACTTTCTGGCTTTCCATAGCGGTTTAGCTTCAACTGACTCATGATCTCAACTATTAAAAGTCTTGTGTTTTGATTTTTTTTCAGTTTCATGAAAATTTTTGAAACATTTTTATGATTTAAAAGTATGTAACCAAGGCTTTACTTGAGATTTAAGTCGAAGTTGAGTAAATGTATATTAACATTGATAATTCAGGATTATTTATGTTCATCAATCTGTAGAAATGTTCGTCTGCTGGTCATCGAGTAAAATATATCGATAAAGAGTAGATAATCAAAAAGATTCTTAGTTTATAAATGTATGAGTGGTTTACATCTATGTAGACTAAAATTTGTTCATAACAAAATACTTCCATATATTCAAGGTAAATAAATAATTTTGTGAAAAAGTACCACATCTCAACCTTGCGCATATTCATATTCATTCTAAGCAAAACTTTATAGTGAAATATAAACAAAACAATCGCTTTCATTATTTAGATTTCGGTATCCGGTGTAATATAAATAATTAAATTTTAAAATTCATTCACCTCTTTTGTTTCAGCATTTATGAATAGTCTTTGTATTGCACTGTATGTACACTAGTCTAATGAAATCTTACTGAGGTTTTAGAATTTCGCTGCCAGATTTACAAACTTTACAGTATATGCTTAGTCTTATATTGAAACGTTAAATTACATATGTAGTTATTCAGTCAGTTGACTTAGCAAATACAATGACTGTAAGCATAAGATATACGTATCATGTCATACAGAAATTAATTAACTGTAATTAATTTGTATTCAGGTTTGGTTTCAAAACCGGCGAATGAAAGAGAAACGTCAAGCTCTAATGCTACCAACTGTTGCAGGTAACTAAACTTGTTTATTCATTTCGAAACAATTAATCCCTTTGATAAATTTGAATAAAATAATAAGACAAAGATTACCGGACCTAATGTGATACAATAGCGTAATGCATTCTGAACAATCTGATCATAGGGAGATGGAGGGCAAAAGGAAACAAAAATAATGAAGAAAATAATCGGAAAAACAATGTAAAACTCGTCACTCCGGACAACAGACTAATATTGCCGCTTTTGTATATCAATTTTCTTTATATATATGGTCAGATTATTCGAAATGTATTGGGCTAATATATCACATAGTTCTGATAATCTTCACCTTGTTATTACACTATCAAAATTAACTTTGAAGTTTTGAGTGATGTAATAATAGTAACGTAGAAAGTATGCTGCTTTTATAATCTGAGATAAGAAAAATAACTGTTGAGGTTTACGTGGATTTTATATAATATGGGTATAATGTTGTTAAATCGAAGCCAAATCACAATATAAGTTATGGACTCAGTACTTATTGCCTATTCAGTTTATTATAGAAAAAAGTTGGTTTCGGAAGGTACTGAGGTCTGATCCGAATGTGAATATCCTAAATACAATTCACATACATTCAGCTGGACAGTCACTGATGGAACGAAATGTATGTTATGGGTTCAACTTCCAGTTTCAGTCCATATGTTTTTAAAGCTTGCAGAATTACAACAATGGTGTAATTTGCTTAGTATTCACATTGGCCAACTAAGACTGATCGACATCCAGTCCTGAATTTCAATAACACGATAATATAAACATTTAATGACAATATCCTTAATTTTATTCGTAAGTTAGTAATCTTATGAATTGAATTATGAACATTATTTTGTTATTGAAGATAAAGAGATAATCAGACCACGGGTACCAGTTAATATCTCTTTCTCTCTGGTAGTGTATCATATTCAAATAATATCTGAAAGTATACATAGTATACCTTAGCAAAATGAAGTCAGTAATTAAACAAAATATTAACCATCAAATTAATTAGGTTTTACAGATTTGTTATGAACACAAACCCGTAACATTAAAGGAACCAAACATTTCTTGTTATGATCTGATAACTATGTGTGTAAACCACAAATATATGTGTTAAATATACATAGTGAACGAACATCCAAGTAAGCTAAACCAAACTATTGTTTCAGGCAAAATCACAAAACAGTTTACTAAAATCTGAAAATCACATTTCAAAAACATTATCTGCACATCTTTTTTGAATTGCCTGTTACAAACTTCACTGTTCCCTCATTTCTGTTGTGATCTTGATTACTTTTTGCTCTTTTTTCTCTTATTTAATCTTCTCAACCTTTTGCTCGCAGATATTCTACTTTCGACTAGTGTTACATACTAATAATAGCAAACATAAGTAGCATACACAATATATATATTAAAGTTTATGAGTAATAATTAATTATCATATTTATTCTTCAAAAGTAACCTAATGTCTAACTTGTAAGTTCAAGACATTATCTCCAAGACAATGTTAAACTACATAACATTAAACCAAACTAAATATAAACAATTCATAACTAACATAATAACAAATCATTGTACTTCTTCAGTCATTTCATACTTCTATTTTATTTAATATTTTAGCAAGTCCACCTATTTATCTTAATTATTCACAAATTTTATTATACGACTATTACTACTACTACCAATAATCATAGTAATATTTTAATTACTTTCAACCATTGTTGTTTCCTTTAACAGATGTAATAAAATGGTGATTTTTTAAAACAAAACTAAAAACACGCGATTTTTCTTCAAAATTTTTAAAAAATTTATCCGTTAATTCAGTATGAGTATATACACATATATATATACTACTTATAACTGATTAAAGTTAGTACCCACTTTTTATAATCACCTACAAAGATAAAAAAATCTATTATAAATCCAAACAAGTATACTTGACATTACTGAATACAGTCAATCGGAAAATTACGTTATTAGATGAAGAAAAGTGTGTGTGTGTGTGTCGTTCTGTAGTCAATTTGTATAGAAATTGTCTAGATATTTTTATGACTTCCTTTTGAAATGTAATAACATACATTCTTTTTTTAATTGTTAGATTAAGTTTATATTATAATTTATTAGGAAACCAAATACAATATTTTCAAGTTAATGAATTAAGTTTAATCTTAGCTTTATTACGTACTTTTATCAAATAAGAATAACTTTATTGTCATAGGTTTATATTACTTATTAATTGAAGTCAGAAATTAAAACCGTTTGATACCGACTTAGTGATTTCGAGATTAAGCGTTTGCGCGTGAGATAGAAAGTCCTGGGTTCTGGTCCCGTGTGAGGGATAGTGGATGCGCACTTCTGTGGAGTCCCATACTAGGATGAAACAGCCGTTCAGTGCTTTCAGGTTTTTAACGGTGGTCTAACATTGATCGATTCTTGATTTCAAACAAAAACTTCACAATCTCCACAACTCTATACTGATATAGTACTTATGGCTGGGAAGAGTAAAGAACTTAATGTAGTTTACTGAATTTAAGATTCAGTTTCACAAATCAGTTAGCTATAGTAAAGAATAGAGCCTGATAGTAATATTTCTGGAAACTAAACAAGATGTATCTTAACTGGGTCATGGTTTTTGATAACTTCTAGTAACAAGCATGATACATGAACTGGACGACACTTTATTCTAGATAACAACGAATTTTCAATAAACCGATTTAGTATTTTATTAGTTTTTCAGTTTATACTAGACAAAACATTAGAATATGAACTTACATCTCTTTTACATCGATTGTAACTGGAAATAATTAGGACTGATTACTTAGAAGTGGGCAAAAATCATGTAAATAAAGCAAGTTATCTTTGAGAAAACCAATATACGAACTGCTTTGCTAGATTTTATGCTATTCGCAACCGTATTTGTTCGTTAGAAATATAATTTCAAATTGTCAAACAATGGATTTTAGTAGCTCATTGCAATCAATTTTTATGACTAGATAACTCACACTATTAATGATGGATTGGAAGCCACAATTGAAAATGACAATTTTATTAAGGGTTACAATCATTCAAAATGATTTCAAGTTAGTATTTTAACAGATGATTTATAAGGCAGCCAATTTGAATATCTGGGATACCTGTTCCTGACGTCTGGATATTTCAACAAGTTATCTGTTTTCTTGTTTGTTTTATTTAACACATAATTACGCCATTTAATCGCATCACTTATTCAGGTGTGTTTATGAAAAGTTTACATTTCTCTGTACAAGTTAAAAAAAAGCACCATCACAGATATCTTGGTTGCTGGCAATATGCATCGAAAATGATATACATTAATCAGATGTCGATTCCCGAACTTCTAACACCTGACTGGCGACCACTCAATAATGATTGTCAGGATCGGTCAAGAAATAAGAAATGGAAACTTGTTGAACTACTTCGTGCTAAGAATTCTGTATTGTACCAGAAATATAATATTGAATAAAGCCAATAATAATAATAATTCATTATTAATTGTAAAATCTATAGTGATTGTTTATAATTTTCCTGTCAGACATTGTGTAAAGTTTCCAATGCCGATATGCTTTTTGATTAAGTGATGTACCAAATATGAATCAAAGTTGAATTATGAACTGAGATGAAGCAAAATACATCACACGTGTATATGTCTAAAAAGTTATTAACTATATGAACTAAATAATTTGATGAATATTGCTTGACTTCTGAAGCAGTTGACGGTGGTTTTAAATTTCAGTGTGGACATCAACACTAATACTTAAGAGTGATCCAGCTGATGAGTCCCAACTAAGACTAATTATATGTCCTGGTTACCACTGCTAGCCACAATCCAAGCTTGTTAAGAATATATCAACTACTGCAAAATATCTATGATCTAGGAACTTCTAACTTTGTTTTTTTTCGTTCAGATAATCTCATTTTAATAGTTGAGATCATGAGTCAATTAAAGCTAAACTACCATGGAGAACTTGGAAAAACATTCTGATACTAATCAACAAATGCTCACTAGTGACTGACTTCAAGATTTCTAGTGGGAAGCAGTGACCAGTGGAGTTCAATCAGGTCTGTTGTGAGATAGTAATTCACCAAAGACAATGGCAGATATTATCAGAAGGGGTTTGTGAAGATTTTAGAAATTTTCACAGATTTAAATCATGAGTCAGTCCCATACTAGGACGAAACGGCCGTCCAGTGCTTCCAGGTTTTCAATGGTGGTCTAGCTTCAACTGACTCATGATTTAAATCTGTGAAAATGGCAGATATGTCAATCAATTTCATGGATTAGTTGAAGTTAGACATTAACATCATTGGATGCTAGCTCAATGGTCTAGATGTTTAAACATACGCTCACGAGACCAATAGGTGCTGTGTTCGAATTTCACGAGGCGGGATTGTGGACTCACACTTCTGAGGAGTCCCATAATGAAGCAAAACGGTCGTCCAGTACTTCCCAGTGGTCTAGCTTCAATGGCCTCATGATCTCAACTATTAAACAACTATTATCTTATCCTACAAAACCCATTCTGATATTAATTTCATTTTAGTTTGTTAAATAAATCTTTTCTGTTATACCACACTATAAACTAAAAACACAAAATAAATTTTCAAGTTTTTTTTTATATTTTAAAACTTTTATTTAATAAATTAAAACAAGAAAAAAAATAATGAAATTTCATTATAAACAAAGAGAACAATGTCAAAATGATCATGTTGAATAATTAAATTTGTCAAAGACAAAATCATTTATGAAGGACTGAGTATTACAATGAAAAGATCCATTCAAATAAGAATGCTACTTTTGTTGTATATTACCATCTGGATATTTACTATCCCCTTAATAATAATAATAATAATAATTATTATTATTATAGTCTATAAATCACGTGATTACATTTCAGCCAAAATAAGTAATCGGTTTTGAGATGGTGGAGAAGATTTGTAGCTAAGGTGGATGATTTTGATGGAGTTTTGTTCTCTGAGCTAAGAGAACAAAACTCCATCAAAAGTAATTGGTTATTGTGAAATTAATATTAAAATACATTCTTGTGTCATTTTAACAATAATACAATGTATAAATAGTGAATAGATCAACTAAGTGTAATAAACATACTATTTAATTAGTAAGAAATTATCATGTTGAATTGATAAACCATCTGTTTGTTTGTTTGTTTGTTAATTTGATTGAGGAAATGAAAAGAGGGTTATAAATTAGAAGTCTAGGATATATAGATGTATAGATATATCTTGTCATTTCACAATTATGTTTAAAAACTTGTGAGCTGTATTCATCAGCAATCATTAATTTTTCAGAAACTTAGTTACTTACTTACGCCTGTTACCTACTCTCCATCAAACTCTGTCCTGGGCAATCGTTTCCAGTCCTTTCGAGTTGTTATTCATCCTTTCCATAGTTGTGTGTTCTTTGGCCTTCCTCGTCTACGTTTTCCTTCAGGATTCCAAGTTATGAATTGCCTAGTGATGTAGTTTGATGATTTCCTCAATATGTGTCCTATCCACTTTCAACGTCTTTTCATAATTACCTCTTCAGTTGGAAGCTGGTTTATCCTCTCCCATGGAATGATGTTGTTGATGGTGTCCGTGCAACAAATATTAAGTATCTTGGGTAGACAGCTAATTATGAATACTTGTACATTTTTGATTATGGTTGTAGTAGTTCTCCACGTTTCAGCTCCGTGCAGTAAGACTATACTGACGTTTGTATTGAAGATTCTGACTTTGATATTGGTTAACAATTGTTTTGAGTTCCGTATGTTCTTTAATTGTAGGAATGCGGCCTATTTTAAGAAAGTAGTAGAATTAAATTCTGGCTGTTTTTTAAAATTTTGATTGAAATGAATAAATTTGTAGATTGAATTCTATTATATCAGTATTTTATTCAATTTAAACAAACGAATTAATTGTTTAATCAGTAATGATTTCAATCTCGAAGTAGTTTATGCTGTCAAAATGAATTCTATGCAGCTTATATGCATCGATTTTGGTTAAAAAATACTTCTTCAAAAATAAAATGTTAGTTTTCTATTCTTGTTTTTGTCAAGATTCTAAAAGCATTTGTAGGTTATAGTCGTCACAGATTGATTTCATTTGTAGTACCTCTACAGGGCTTTTTCATCCGAATACGGAACACTTCAGCAGCGTTTACCCATGATCCCATCAAAGTTCGAACCTAGGATCTGTAGATCTGGCAACTGCAATTACTTGATTATTATAAGTACAGGGTTTGAGTTTATTTATAAATCAGAAAACGTTATATCAAAGCATAATTTCCATTTCTTAAAAGTAATTATCAAATTTCGGATTTGAAATAAATAGCTTCTGGAGATTATGTGCATTTAGTATTCATGTATTATTGATATACGTCATCGAACAAAGGATTTTTATTTTGCTATCAAGAGGTTGACTTTAAGTAATCATATACTACTTATGTCAATATAAGTAGCACACACCACAGGGGTTTTCAAGATGAATAACCTCGAGAATAATGTTATCGTATTTAGATGAATACTCAATGTCTTTAATTACACTTTGTGGTGAAGGTACTGTAAAAAAAGGAAAACGTATACTCTGAACTAAACATCCAAGTAATAACTAAATAAAGACAATATATTTATTTGATTAATCACTATTTCATTATTTCAAATGACCACGTTTTTGATGAAGTTTTGTTCTCTAAGCTGTATGGTTTGGTCGTGGAGCTTTCATCGTTTTTCTGAACGACATCATCAGCATAAACTTCAGTTAGATGAAAGTTTTACAAGCGAACCATCCAGTTTAGAAAACAAAACTTCATCAAAATTAATTAACGTGATTTACAAATCTTCGTCACCATCTCAAGATCAAGTTTTATTTGAGTGTTTTACTTTTAATAAAAACTTTTCAGTCTTTATTTTTATTATTATAGGTAAAGATCCTTATTTAAGAGAAACACTTTTAAAAGTTACACAATTATATTGTGCAACACGATATGGAAATGAATCTCCCAATATAGATATAACCAAATTTCAATCAAAAGTTTCACAAAATAGAAATGTTTCTAATGAACTACGTAAACGAATAAGAACATCATTGAATCCAACCACAATAACATCTGTATTATCTAATAAAAACAATCACAATAATTGTAAATCAAACAAACCATGGGAAAAAGAATCTAATCTAATAACTAACAAACATAATATAATTCATAAAGAGAACGAGGTTAATCAGTCAAATATATACCTTAGTAAATCTATGCTTAATATTACAAATGAGCAAGTTATATCAAAAAAGCCTAAAAATGAGATTGTTACTTTAGATAGTTCTTATGAAACCACTAATTCGAAATATCAGAATCATACACAGTTTTCTACTGATAGTATTACTGATAAGAATTGTGATATGAATAAATGGACAATGATTTCTCATCCTTCAAATCTTTCAACTTCATCAGTTAGTAGTGATGAAAATCATTCATTAATTGAAGATCAATTAATTCAAACTAAACAAAATAAATCTAATCTATTTTCAACATTTCCATTCATTCATAATACATCTTCGGCTATGTTAGATGATCATAATGAATCAGTTATCTCATCTACAATATCACAAATGAATTCATTCTAATTTATTCAAATTACTAAATATAGATGAAAGTTTCTAAAAAAAATCTGCTTAATTATATTTCAATCATTATCACTGTTTTCTTTGAAACAGCTTGGACCATGTTGTTATGCGAAACATTGGATTTACTTCAAATTCTTTCGTTGAGATGTTACCGATACATTCCTTCTGTTTCATATTATCACTGTTTACTATAAATTCATGTATGGAAGGGTTAGAACATGTAAGTGAATAGCAGTATGCATAGATAAGAACCATTATATTGATATATTAAATATGAATCCATTAATTCTAGGAAGAAATCTTTTATTCACTACTTGATATGTATACACATAAGTGTACGGATGAAAAGATTACTATTCGGTAATTGACCATAACTTTCACATGATAACATTAGATAATATAGAAGGCATCAATGAATACTGTATACTTCTAGTATCTCGCAAGTAATCTATGTAATATACAAAACAATTTTTCTCACAAATTGTTAATTAATCAGTTTGTTTAATAACTTCATTACATTGTAGAATATTGATGACTAACAATGACATTGAAATACTTCCATCACAAATCTTACTGTTATTATCATTTTTTATTCTGTTCAAGTCAATTTTTTTATGTAAATGAAAATAATCTTTCTTGAACTACTTTAAATGTATCTTCTGCATTTTTTACCGCATATGAATGTAATTTTCGTTAGAAACGTTATGAGTTATAGTTTGGTTAATGATGTGATGTGAGTTACTTATATCCACACAAGTAGTATATAACGGTGGTCAGTCATAGAATGTATTTCAGTAGAAGGTCGATGAGGAAAGAACGGGAACGGAACGCAATTATTATGAAAACGCATGAAAAATGAAATCTGAGACAATGGACTGATATTTGCAAAAGGAACAGTGAAGTTTCAGACGATGAATTGACATTCTGCAAATTAACTATTTATTATTTATTTCCTTGAAAAAGCTTGAACCAGAAACGTTGGATTTACTTCCAAATTCATTCGCTGAGATTTTACAAATACATTATCCCTCTTTAATGACTCACATTAACTCGGCGCTCAAATACTATGAAACTATTCAATCAAATTTAGACGAAAGTTCTTATTTATTCAATATGTGGTTCTCAAATCTTATTGAGATGCTCTGTAATCTCGTGTCAAATACATTCCATTGTCCCTATTCGTGTTCTTATTCATTACAATAATAGAGTGATTATCAAAGTTATGAAAGTGGTAATCACTCGACAACCTCTTGAATTCTGTATTAATAATAATAACCAACTGTACAATTTATAAACTTATCAATACTATTGGGAGACAGGTTTGAGGAGTACATAATGGAGATAGGAAATATTGTTTAACAGTACAACTAGTTTAATGTTATTCTCTACATACCATTGAATCGATTCTAATCACCTATCAAACATACATCATTATTTAAGAAATATTCAGTCTTTACTTATTAAATTGTTTACTAGTCGATTCATATTAAACAGCTTCTTAAAATGTACACTTGACCAATTTTATTCTCCTAAATTAGATATTAGAATTGTAAATATACAAATATCTTGTAAGGCAATTTTTGTATTTTGTTTTATTTAAAAGTCTTTTAAGCAAATCAAATGAAGAATTTTTTATAAACAATTACAAATTACTAGAATCTAAACGAATCGAAAATGCATCCTTGAAGTTAGACTACTTGAATTACAGGATAAGTTTTGATAGAGGTTGGCATAAATTTCATGGAATTGCTAAAATTGCTACTACCACTACTACCAATTTTAGCAATACTATTAATACTACTAATACTGTGTTGTATGCAATTTATGTTGACAGACATAAGTAGTATGTCTCATCGATCTGGGATAGAAAACCTGACAGCAAAAGGCTAAGAAGATCAAGGTGAAGAGAATCGAAAAAGAAATTTTTTAAAAAGTGTAAACTAGAAGAATCATACAGATAGTGAGAGAAAACGATGGAAATTTGCAAATGAAATAATCAGTGTATGGACCTCATATTTTACCAAGATATTCTATAACTATGTGCCGGAAAATTAATGAAGGCTCAAGTTTTCATTGCTCACAATAGTACAGAAAATAAGAATTACTTAAGAATATATTTTTTATCATTTTGATATTATGTTTACAAACTAGAGCGTAGTACTCTGTCGGTTTGTTTTTTTATGAAACAATAACTAACCATAACATCAAATCCATCATTTAACATCGATACAAAATTACAGACACAGAAATATACCGCAAACGAAATGAGAGTTTTACAAATTCTTTAGTATTGAACAATAAAAATTGAAATGCTATGCGTTCAGAACTTTGAGATAATGGAAAAGATTTGTAACTCAGATGGATGATTTTGATGGAGTTTTTTTCTCTGAGCTGAATGGTTTGGTCGTGGAGTTTTCATCCTTATTCTGAATGACATCATCAGCAAACATTTCCAAGCTTCTTAAAAGATCATATTTAACGTAAATCTATTTATTGTAATTGATAACCATGCCTACAGTTTGATATTTCATTTCATAGTGAACATCAAAGATTAATCTTGGTTAAAGCTACATTAAAAATTAGAAAGTGCTAGATCTTTGTTTAGTCAAAATCAGTCCATATTGTTAATTATGAACTTCACAAAATCTTCATAAATCTCCCACAGTCAATATATTTAATTATTGACTATCAAGATATTTGATCTCATAGTTTGTGATTGAGATATATTTAGCGTAGGTCTTCAAATTAATTCAAGCTATTTGATTTTAGCTCCATAACCTAATCAAGTCTTATGACCTACCGCGAAATGAACACTTTGTTACTACTATCATCTAAAGAATAATGAACAGGAAAAAAACTTGTTAGAAAGTCAATAATTACTTTACAATATGACTGACATATGTAAAGTTTAAGATTAGAAAAAAACTTTACTTGCTCACGGCTAATCAAGAAAAATATAAGCTTTCGGGTCACATTCCACACCAATCAATTTCGATTTACATGAATTAACCCATACAACTTATTTACGCCTTTTACTCCTCGTGAAGGAGCATAAGCCACTCACCAGAATTACTTTCTTGGTTAGCGTTTTTTTAGCGAGTTAGTTTTCTAAGGGATGGGGTCGCTAACCTCATGCACAACCCTCCTCCTTTACCCGGGCTTGGGACCGGCAGTACTCTAGAAGAGGTACAGGTGTAACGTGGTTTTTTCATTCTTTAGTTGTATACCAATAATGAAGCAAATTAATTCCAATCAAGATAAACCTTTACAAAAATTCCTACTTTTTTTTTGAAAAAACAAACAAACATTAAGACGAACTAAACGAAGAATACACTGTACAATACTTCACCAACAAGTTTTACAGTGATTAATACAAATAAGGGTTTGTTTTGTAATAGCCAAGTTGAAGGCAAATACACCCTTTTAAAATTACAGTATACAGATTTAGAAATAATCTGTAAAATAAAATAGAATTTCCTATTTTGAAATCTTTAGTAATGTAATGTTAAATTAGATCAATTGAGATGTCAATCGAAATTGTACAATTAATAGTTAGAATAAATAAGGATAAACTGAATGAGCAATAATAAAGTAATCACAAATCAGTCAAAGACTAGGGAATGAATAAGTTAATATGAGCTAAGTAAAAAAATAATAAGGTGGATTAAGTGTTAGTTAACTTCTTTATGTGTTATAACTGATCTTTAGTGATAGTTATACAAAGATATATGAATAATAATAACAATAATATTTGAATTCATGAGTTGAATAAAGCTAGACGGTGAACAGTCACGTTATATCGTGGATCGATCGAAGTTAAACACTAACACCGTTGGATGCCGGCTCAATGGTCTAGAGCTTAAGCGTTCGCAAGTCAAACTGAAGGCCCTGGGTTCGAACCCCGTGTGAGGGATTATGGATGCGCACTACTGAGGAGTCCCTCATTAAGGCTTTATTCTAATTAATATTTTTACAGTTAAGAACGAAATATATATATTAAATAAGCCGTGGTCAGCCAATTTTACAATGTCTTCCGTAAAACAGTAATCGGTTACAAGCTCAACAGATGTAAAATTACAAAAAAATAAATAGGTGACATTGTACCAATGATTAACTATGACAATTTGTTACATAAGAATGAGAATTAAATAATTTTGAAATTAAACAAACGACTATAAATGTCTACTGTTATTTCTAAAGCTAATAGTATATGATTAGTAAGAAATGGTGCAAAGGAAATTAGAAAACCAGATTTTTATGTAAAAACGAAAAAAGAGGTTTAGCAAAATGCTACAAGTTTGATAAGATTCTAAAAATAACTTTGGAAGCTAAATTCATAATTTATGTGGTGACCGATAACTATTAAATGTAACAAAAGAGAGATTTTTATTGTATTATTTTCTCTTTTAATCAACCAACAGAGGTAATGCTTAGAAATATAGTGATGTATATACCTGGTTGTAACTCCGCCTGGAGTCCCTCCGGGAGCTACCGCCGGTCCCAAGCCCGAATAAAGGAGGGGGGTAGGGATGGGGTTAGCGACTACATTCCGTAGGAAACTAACTCGCTAAAAACGCTAACCAGAAAAAATTCTTCGAACCATTTAAACTCCGCCCCGTGAGTCAGAAGGTCTTCATTTAGAAGAGTTATGACGCCTCATGGTGAAAGTCGAGTTCCTTCGGAAGTCACGAGGCCGATGCCCCTTGTGACAACCAGAGCAACCATTTATTTAGGTATACGGAATGCTCGTTCAATGTGGGAGACTGAGAGAGCCTTCCAAATTGCTGCAGAAATGAGGATATACCTGGTTATGCATCCGATTTTACCAATATAACAATTGAAGTGAAAAATGCACATAAAGGCGGTAGAACTAGGAAGTTTATCTTTAGTTTGTGAACTCTATCGACTGATTAAATAAAAAAAGACATCATTTAACTGTGTTAGCTGTTCGTTCTATAGCTTTTCCTATATTTTATATCACTATTTCGTTGATCATATCA